AGGCCTGTTCAAGGCCAGTCTGATTTACAAAGCAAGTTCAAGGACAGCCAGGATTACAGAGAAATCCTGTCTCAAAAACCCAAGGGGGAAAAAAAGAGAAGAAAACTACCGCTCTCGTAATTCAAATACTGCTTGCCCAGTAGACATCACCAGGCGTAAGAATTTGTTTTAAATGGGCCTATTCTTGACACAGACCTTGTAAGAGGCTGAGTCCCACGATATTCCCACAGTGGCTCCTTGTGGTCATTACACTCCTCCCACACAAATCAGATAAGGAAGACAACTTCCAAAGCAAACAGGCGGAGGATACCTGACAACTGGTAAAACTTGGTTATAATCCCCTTCTCCTGGTCATCGAAGAGCCTCATGTCCTCTTCATTCTCCCGGATGGCCTGCAGCACCACCAAGAAGCTCTGCAGGTAGTAGGGGTGGCTCGGTGGGGGTTGAGTGGTCTCCTCAGGAACATCACAACTGGATCCCTCCTTCAGAATTTGTCGTTTTAAGGCACGCCCACCTTCCCTAAGCTCTTGGCTGTTATTCCCTGGAGAAGTATCCGTGGGTCTGCTTGATTCTACCTCGTTAGCAGACCCTGGCGTCAGAACCTCAACAGTCACTTCGACCTCTTCAGGGCTGCACGCCTCAAGCTGTTCAGCAACCCCTCCACTTACCCCTCTGGCATCTTGCTTTACAAAACTGTCTCCTGAAGCAGATTTGCAGTTACTTTCAAGAGTTAAATCTAATGAAAATAATGTGGACCCATGATCCAAGGATGCAGGCGTGCGGGCTGACTCCCCGCAGGGTGCTTTTTGGCTCTCATCTTCCCTTATTTTACTGTTCTCTACCATCTGTTCAGAAGCATCCTCTTCCTCTAGAGATGCACAAGAAAAAAGGTTTTCGTTTTGAGAACCGCCCAAAATCTCATCTTTGTCCTCCACCTCTGAACAGTTATCGAGCAGGCTGGGGCCAGTTGTGGACAGAGAACTCCGCGGACAATGACTGGCTGGTCCCTCCTTCTTATGCAGTGATTTTTTAACTTTTAGGTACTTGCTGGACAATTTAGAGGACAGACTCCCCAAAGACGTAATTTCCACACTCTGACTTTGAAGCTCACTTTGACTTTTGCACGCCGAAGCATCTTTAAAGTAGGGGCTGGTCTGATGTTGGGCGCCCAGTTTTGAACCGCCTAGGGCAGGGATTAAACTTCTCTTTGGTGGTGACAACTTCTGAGGTGTCGTGTCTTCTAATGCAATACTTGGTAAATTTGACCTGGATACAGATGGATTCCTTAAACCAGACTGCGCAGGCTCAACCTGAACGAAGTCATCATCCTTGTTAGTACAGGACTCATCAAGGTGCCGAATGAGGTCGTACCTAGGCACCATTTTATGACAAATTGAACATGCAAGCTTAGCAGGTGGGGCATTGTTAAAATATGAAATAATCGAAGGAGATCGGCTTTTTGTAGTTTTGTTGGTAGATAAGCTTCTACGGGGCCTTTTTTGGACAGGTGATCTCCCTTGTGACATCACGACTATCAGAAAAAGTGGGCGACCCAAGAAAATTCGGGTAATCTCGGGTGAAGGACCGCAGTGTTTTACTTTTACTCCCTTGGTTTGAATTAATAAAATAAAAGGTGCCTGCTACCACCTCATCAGACAAGACAGTGGCCACCCCGGGTGAAGGACCCCAAAGGTTTACTTTTACTCTCGCCTTGAACTAATGCAAAGTGAAGTAACATTTGGTGTAGATATTTGTCCAATTTCTTCTCCCTACAAAATAAAATACATAAATTAAAAACATTTTCACGCATTAACGGGGTCGGAGGACAACTGAATGGCAACTTCTGGAATGAGAACCCTGAGCTTGAAAATAGATCAGGGTTGTCCTGCAGCTCCGCGCAGGCTCCGGGATCCTTGCCTCACGCGGACTGAGCTGCACTTACTTCCAGGGCCTTTCTAGAACCATTCTTCTTAAAAAGAGGACGCTGACTCTCTAGACTCTTCTGAAGTCACTGCAGCGGAACCAGCCGAAGAGGCGCGCGAAGGGGCTCAGCGGCCGCAGTCCGCCCAAGCACCGCGCTGCAGGCATTCCCAGCCGATCCCCGCGACTGCACTCCCAGACTCTACGAGTCGAGTTCAGAGCGATCGAGCTGAGGGAGGGCGGACTGTGAACTGGAGGGTGAAGACAGCAATGCAGTCCTCACCAGGCCTTCTCTGTGGTAGCAGTTGCAAAATAAGTGAAAGCAGCAACTACCTCGAGAGCTTCCCAAGTCATACACTAGGGCAGCACAATACTTACCCTTTGTGGGTGGTAAATTAGGAAGGCTACTATAATTCCTTTTTGCTTGTTTTCAAGATAGGGTTTCTCTGTGTAGCCCGGGAACTCATTCTGTAGACCATGCTAGTCCCCAACTCGGAGATCATCCTGCCTCTGCCTCCCGAGTGCTGGGATTAAAGGCGTTTGCCGCCATACCTAGCATTCCTAACACAGCTAAAAATTAATTCAAAGAGATACAACTCAGATAGGCTACTCAAAATAAACGTATTATAATTAATTTGACTTTACAGGAAAAAAATGAACAGAAAAAGTCAGAGAAAATATGTAAAAAAAACAAATAAAATCAGATCAATAATGATATTAAGTAGTCATGAATTGGGCTGGAGAAATGGCTCAGAGGTTAAGAGCGCTGACTGCTCTTCCAGAGGTCCTGAGTTCAATTCCCAGCAACCACATGGTGGCTCACAACCATCTATAATGAGATCTAGTGCTCTCTTCTGACATATAAACATACATGGAAGGAATGCTGTATACAAAATAAATAAATAAATCTTTAAAAAAAAGTAGTCATGAATTCATAGAATTAAAAGGTAAAACCAGTCTGATTAGACTTAAAAATGTCGTTCCTAACTATGTGTCACATTCAAGAGCCTGGTGCAGCAAATTCTTTGATTGAAAAAAATTCACAAAAAATACAATGTAATATTCAAATCACTATTAAAGCTGGTACTTTAAGGCGTAGGGAGACCAGAGGATTACTCAAAAGTATTTATTCAGAGGAAAAGGATATTCCAATAAATCCTACTTGGAACAAAACTTCAGGAAAAGTTGCTGGGTGTCGTGATACACGCCTTTAATCCAGCACTGGGGAGGCAGAGAGGCAGGTAGATCTGAGTTGGAGGCCAGGCTGGTCCACATGAACTTCCTGGAGCTTCATAGTTTGGCCCTGTCTAACAGCAACTTGGGGAAAAATTTTTTAATGTCATATTAGTGGTGTCATAGTCAGAAAACATCTCCCAAACTCACGTGTTAAAACTCAATGGCCAACAGAGCAATGGCTTCAGAATCCATATGTTGGAGAGAAGCGACCTAAACATTGTTCTCTTACCTCCAGACCTGTGCAGCATCCTCAGAGCCCTTGACATTGCATACAATTAGCACCGTGGTATAAAGGTTTTGGGAACAGGAACTAGAGATGGCTCAGAGGTTAACAGCACTTGCTGCTCTGGCTGAAGACCTGGGTTCAGTCCCAGGCAGCTCTACCAGGTAGCTCGCAACTACCTGCAACTCCTGTTCCAGGGAACCAATGCACATGAATACATGCACTCACACATACACACCAAGGCTTGGGGGAGGAGTCCCGCCCTTGTACCTAACCCAAGGACAAAGCAACAAAATGCCATTTTGACACCCACATCTCTCATCAGACACCACTCCATAACAAGCAAACTCAGCGAACCAGTATTTAATCTAAACCATACAACCTAATTCTCTTTGATAACAGGCATGTTCAGCATTAATAAAGAACTCTAAACAGGATATTCTTTACCACTGGGTTTGATCGCGCGCTGCAGATGAAAATCAAGAGCCTTTCCAGTCATTCTTAATCTTAAATCTCATTCTCTACCCACCTGTACTAAGGCTGGTTATTTTTCCATCTAGTCATGATGTTATCAGTGAAAGGCATTTTTCTGAGTGGGGATGTCTGAGCAAAGGACACCTGGTTATCCTAGGGGACTCTGAAGACTGCCAGTCCGTATTCCAAGCTACACTAAGCCTGTTGCTTCCGGATTCCCTTCCCGATCGTATCTGTCCTCTCAGTATCTTACTATGAACTGTAGCAGCTAACCTGTGCTAACTCTTTGTCCAGGTATTAAGATTTTCCAAACGGAAAGAGCTAAACCACATACATGAAAGTGCTGTTTTGTGAAGTAACAGACACAATAGTGGAAGAAAATGAAGAACTCAAAGACTATATGGACAGCTGGCTGTGAGGGATGTGACTGGCTCTGGGTGCTTCTCATGGCAGGCAGGCAAAATGGTGTATTAGCGGGCAAGCACTAATGCAGGAAGGGCACTGGGAAGTTCAGGTGTGTTTCACACCCAGCGAAACCCAGACAGGCTTTCTATTTGTTTTATGATGTTTTAGGGGCTAGTGTGGTCTAACCTAGCCTTCAGCTCACTTTTTAGCTAAGGAAAATCTTGAATTTCTGATTCCTTAGCCTTCATCTTCTGAGTGGCTGATTATGGAGAGATTTCTCAAAGCACTGTTAACTCTCAAGGAGTTCCCATCAAGCAAAGATAGGTCTTTGCTGGCTATGTATGTATGTACGTACGTACGTACGTACGTACGTATGTCACCTAATACAAGTCAGTATCACCTGGAAAACAAAACAAAACAAACAAAAAAATCAAACCCCCTCAATTAAGAAAATGGCTTTAAGGATTGGCCTGCAGGGAAGTCTGTGGGACATTTCCTGGATTAATGATTGACGGAGGACCCAGTCAACCTCGGATGGTGCAACACCTGAGTAACTAAGTGGTTGTGAATCAAGCAAGCTGGGAAAGGCACAGAGAGCAGGCCAGTAGACAGTGTTTCTAGTCTTTGCTGCAAGTCCTGAGCTCCCTCAGTGACAGACTGTAAGCTGTAAGACGGAAAAGCCCTTCCTTCACAAGCTGCTTCGGTTATGATCTTTATCAAAGCAAGAGGAAGCAAACTGAGATAGGTCTCAAGAATTTTATTATAAAACAAAATAATGACAGAAACTTACAAATTTATATATTAAATTCAAATATATTACAGCTTTAATTTATGAACAGAAATGTCCTGTTTTTTCTTCTTTATCTTTCCTGGTTGTTTTGCATCATTAATCTGCATTTTTACTTGATCTTGCAATTTAGAAAAGAACGCCTGAGACGACTTTAAGGGCTTGTCTTTTCGTTCATCCTGCAGTTAAAACAAAACAGAGATGTTACAAATCATGCTTCTGTAGGCAACGCAAAGCATACAGCACATTATGATCAGAACAATGACCAAATGCACAAACATGAAAAGCCACTACAAAAACAGTCGGCTACCTTAACATACATTCCATTATGACAACACCCTTGTACCTTAGAGGGAAGAGAGAAGAAGAAAGAAAACTTGCTGACAGGCCTGCCATTATACAGAAAGCCTGAATGGTGCCGAGGCCACTGCTGAGCAGTGTGCTTCAGGACCCAGAGGCAGCTCTGACACCCTAGCTGAGAAACAGCCCAACACATGCCATCAAGTCCCCAATAGGTGCCTGTCCGTACTTACCTTTAACAAGGACACTTTGCCTGTTTTGGTCAACTGTTTCAGCTTCTCCTTAGCTGCTGCTCTGCTGGTCTTTCCAGGCTGCTCTGGGTTCCTCTTTTCAAGCAATTTTCTTCGCTTTTCCTTCTCCTTTATTTTCAAACGCTTCTGATATTTCTTTTTCCTCCGTTCTCGTTTCTTGTCTGTAGCTGTTTTCTCAGCAGCTGTCTTTAGATCTCCAGCTTTATTTTTCTCCTATTAAAAATAAACCAAATAAACAAAAACCACCAAATAAATGAAAACCCTAAACAACCACCATACTTGCTATCCATATCTAACATCTGCTGAGGGGTGAGAAGATGAGCACACACAGTGGAGCAGGGTCTGAGGATGCAGAGCAGGCCCTGCTTGGTACCAAGGGGCTGTGGTAACTCTAAAGCCACTCTTTGCTCTTTGCCAGAACTGACTCAGTAATAGTTCAGCCCCAAATGAACTCACAAAGGAAACACAGAGAGTTAGGCTCTCAAGCCCACAGTATTGGCCAACAGGTGTCTCAAACATGGGTCAAAGGACATGTCTGGTTCAGTCTTGGCTCTCAGCTGTGAATGGCAGCCCCTGGGTTTGGATGACAGGGCCCTAGAGACAATGAAGAGAGGAAGCAGGGAATCCTGACTCAGTAAAGAATGACATCCTCATTTCTCCTGAGCTGTTAGCTCATCATGCCAGGTTCTGACAGAAGTGCTGGCTGTATATGTAACAAAGCAGAAGAGATAAGAGGACACCCGGATGTTACTCCAACAGAGAAGCCACTGCTTCTGTGAGGCACGAATGTCCACGTGCAGGAGTCAGAGGATGTCAGCACCTGGAATAGCCAAGGTGTTCCAGAGTTCAAATGATCTGCTGGATTCTAGATGTCAACGCTAGTAAGCGTTACACCGCACTTTATGATTATTATGCATAAAAGCAGCATGGGGATGGGCTAATACTAAAGTATCACTGGATTTTCAAAGACTGAAACAGGCACTTTAAAACATCTGTAATACTTGCATGATGCCTGAATACACAAAATTAGTTTTTAAGCATTGCATAACTAATCATTCCTCTCACTATATAAGCATCCATAGTCACAGAGGATCAACTGTAGGACCCCACAGATACCCAAGTTCCTACATGCTCACTACTTACATCACCTATATCCATACTTCCATACAATTCAAACTGTGCATGGATTGCATGAAGCCCTGGGACAATGAAAATACTACAGACAAATAGCTGGTTGTAAAGTCTGCACATGTTCAAACCAGACTCAGTTTTCTTTGCTGAACATGCGGTTGGCTGAATTCATGGGTGAACAACTCAGTTATAGGGTGTGGGGGGATATACCTAGAAACTACTGAGATACACAGGAATAAAAACTGAAACTCAAGGAAAGTTACATTAATCAAATGCAGATCTCGTTGCAAGAAACTTCCTTGCAGTGGATAAACATTTGCACACTGGTTTCCTACCTTGATTTCCTCTGGGGCCAGGAGGGTTGCATCACTAACGCTCACTGGGGCTACTTCCTCCATGGTTATGGCTGGCAGATTCGACACTACTTTAATTTCAGGAACAGGCTGGAAAAGAGATAAGGCATTTAGTGGGGAGAAGAAAATGGAGCAAATGTCATCCAATAAGTTCTTTATGGAGTTGGTCTCCTCTGCATATGCTATGGTTGTTGGCTTGGTGTTTGGGGGATTACTGACAGTGGGAGTGGGGCTGTCTCTGACTCTTTCACCTGCTCTTAGCACCCTTTTCTCCTACTGGGTTGACTTGCCCAGCATTGATATGAGGATTCCTAACTAGTCTTACTGCATCTTGTGCCATGTTTGGATGATATCCCTGGGAGGAGTGCCCTTTTCTGGGGAAGATGAAGGAGGGGGTGGATATGGGGGAATGGGGAAAGTGCAGGGTGAACTGGGCGGGGTGGAAAGAGAAGCTGTGGTCAAGATGTACTGCATGAGAGAAGAATAAACAGAGTCGGGCGGTGGTGGCGCACGCCTTTAATCTCAGCACTTGGGAGGCAGAAGCAGGAGGATCTCTGTGAGTTTGAGGCCAGCCTGGTCTACAAAAGCTAGTTCCAAAAAAGAATAAATAAATTCTTTAAAAGAAACCACACGCTGAAAACAAAACACAAATCTAAAACATTACTGTGCTAGCTGGAATGACAACCATGACAACGGGAAGCAGCAAACCATTCCAGAAGTGTTTACAGCTACACATCTGTACAACGTTCTGCCAGGAAATACACTGCATGTTACC